GCGGACCGCCGACATCCAGCCGTCCCTCCTCCTCCCGCGGACCGCCGACATCCAGCCGTCCCTCCTCCTCCCGTGCCTCCTCGCTGTGGGTTCGCTCTCCTTTGTCTTTGTCTGTCTGCCATTGGCCGTTGCTCCGCTTCACTCCTGTGTCGTGTCTCCTCAGTGGACAGGCCGGAGGGAGAGAACAGGATCACAGCCAACGTGAACGTGGTGTCGCTGAGCGTCGGAGAGCTGGTCGACCTCAGCCGAGGTCAGAGGTCACAGACACACACTGACAACGTTTAAACATCAGCTCATCAGTTTTCCTTCTAGGAACATGTGTTGTTGTGCATCTTTGTTCTTTCTTCTCAACTTGAGTTTGTAACAGGACGTAATTTAACAGGATGGTCCAAACCTGTCACAGAACCGCCAAATATCTAAACTACAGCTGAACCCGTTTGACGTGGTGCAGCCCGGTTTGTTGTCACGTCTCTTTTCTCGTCTGCTTTGCTCCCCAGATGTCGGGATGGAGACTTTCCAGAGTCCGGTGCTTTGTGGGAAATGTGGCGCCGCCCTGTCCTGCCTGAGCTCAGTACAGAACCACGTGAGTCACCTTCTGTTGGACTTTTAGCTGTGACTCATATCACCTGAGAGCTGAACACAGTCTGGTTCTGTCCAGGTGTGGCTCTGAGAGTTCTGATTTAGATCTAATGAGCTGAACACAGTCAGGTAAACGGTCCCGGTTCTGTCCAGGTGTGGCTCTGTGAGTTCTGCAGCGGTGAGAACGTCGTGGACGATGGCGTGGGTCGAGCGTGTGTGGGTCAGCGCGCAGGCGTTCGCAGCGACGACCTGTACCTGCCGAAGCAGAGCGACGACGACTACCAGAACCTGGAGGACACGCTGGTGGTGTTCTGTGTGGACATCTCAGGCAGCATGAGCATCACCACCGAGGTAACCTGGCCCGTCTCTCTGGGTAGAACCAGCAACACAGCCAGAACTATTCAGAACGACTGAGTCCATACAGGTGTGTCCAGGTTAGAGGACTCTGACGTCATCGACTGCAGCTCAGCTTCAGATCAGCTAATGAGGGAAGTTTGTGTCATTTAAACTCGACTGTTTCTCATCACTCTGGAGTCGTTTACATCATCTGGACACATTCATGAACTCCTCCAACACCTTCGTCTCATCTCAGAGCAGCTTTCAGCCTGAACACGCCTCCAGATGTTTTCTATTTAGGACACGACCAAACGTTTGGGCTCAACAACAACAACAACAACAACAACAACAGCATCATTCTGCGTCAGGCTGTTTGACTTCTAGGACAGAAAACAGGTCTCTGAGATCAGAGCTGTTCATTTGCAGCAGCTCCGTTTGAGGTTCTGACATGTTCCTCTCCAACACCTTCAGCTTTGAGTCACAACGTTAAGTCCTTTACTCCACTTTGATCTCAGACAACGTCCAGGTTTTCTCTCATACAGTCCAGACTTTACCTTCAGATCATGTGTTCTGTGATAAATCCACGGCCCCAGAATATTCCAGTTTTATGTCATGAAGTCACGGCTTTAATCTGAGACACTGATCAGGTTTTATCCTCGTAACCTTGTGGCTTTAATAACACAATCAATAGTATTTTTTGTGACTTTAATCTCAGCAGTGTTGAGGTTTGACTCTACAGTGTGTGGAACCGTCTCCACCAGCCTCAGTGTGGATGATGGATGATCTGTGTTCTGCTGTTTGTTCCTTCAGGTTCCGTCACTCTTCGGTCCTCCAACGTACATCTCCAGACTGCAGGTGAGACTGAATGTCTGATAGAGTCCGTCGGGGGTTTTGTGCACCACACACTGGGTGGTATCTACACATAGTGGTACTAAAACAGACCGGCTGTGTCTCCTCAGGGGATCCAGGACGCCCTGCAGGGGGCGCTGTCCTCCATCCTGCAGGAGTCGCCTCGCAGGAGAGTCGCCCTGGTGACGTTCAACGACGAGGTACGATAAATACCGTCTGTGTGGACAGTTTAGATGTTGAGCTGCTGATTCAGGTCGAGGTGATTAAAGCTGAACAACAACATAATTGTTCACAGACTCCAGATCAGCGTCTCCGTCCACGTAGAGGACATAAACTATATTTAAGGCTGTTTAGTTCATTTTTCACACTTTAATCACAGAGATGATCAAAGCATTGTTAGGTTATGACTCTAATCTCACCGATTATCAGGATGTTTTCTGTAAATTTGTGACTGATCTCAAAGAACATTTCAGTTTTTTTTATTGTAAATTTACTTTAATCTGAGAAAACACCTTTTTTCAGTAAAGACCTCACTTTGGTTTTGAATGTAAATGATTTACTTGAGTTTACTTTTCGATTTTTGTTCTTTCTGAATTCAGGACTTTGATCTCAGAATATCTGAGCATGTTCCTGGTGAAGGTCAGACTTCATCCTCAGAGAACATTTCACTGTTCATGTTCCTCTAAACAAGTCAAATTAACATTTCAGTTCATTTGAGTTGACGAGCCTCCACCAGGTTTGGATCCTCTTCTGTCCTAAAGGCTCTAACGCGGTGCCGCTTGTTGTCCAGGTGGTGGTCTACGGTGACGGTACCAGAACTCCTCTGAGCCTCAGAGACTGGGCTCTCATCGACGAACAGCACATCTGGCAGCTGAGCTCAGCGTTCAGCGTTCCTCACTGCATCGCCGAGACCCACCTGCAGCTCAGGCAGCGGGTCAAAGAGTGAGTCTGAGCTCCAGGCCTCCACCTACGTCCTGGTAGACCCCCTTCATGCTCCAGGCCTCCACCTACGTCCTGTTAGACCCCCTGAGCTCTGGGCCTCCACCTACGTCCTGT